CGCCAAGTTTCGGTTCAACTGTATCCGTACACGTTGCCCTGCGCATTCCTGACTAATTTTCAGTTATCCGTTAAATATTAACACCGTGACCAAACGAACATTTGTTTATTTTTCATATACCGTATCGTATCATTTGTAAAGTTTGATATCATGCGTCATATCAGGAACAGGCCTTGTGGAATTGTCTCGTCTCCTTAAAATTCCGATTAAAGCGAATTGAAACCGATAAATTTTCAAGTAAATCAAAATCGCATTTAATTGGAGCATTTGGAGATACAGAACACCCTAGTTAACGTTCAGGATACTATGTTAGAATTTAAAGCCCTAAACGAAATAGTGCTAAGCGGAATACATGTACGGCGCGAGTTTGGGGATTCGGGGAATTACCTTTTTTACCAAGTGTTTACAAAATGGCTCTATAATGAAACTAATGAAAATCTCATTTATTCCCATTAATAAGTATATCTATCGGATTTAACCCCTTGACCTATAATATCGAGGGGAACTCGTGGTAAGGAATTCGGGCCAAATATAGGAACCACGAGTCAGGAGGCTTGTATTATATCTATCACGTGAATGAATTTTGTTGCCGATTATGGCACGCGCCGTCACAATTTTAATCATGGGTCAAGAGTTTAATAAGGAAGTTCAGATCCACAAATCTGATTTATTTCAATTAGGTAATTCTTTTTCAACCTATTTTAATTGGGTTTCTTAAGCACAATCCCTCTCACACGGGTATCTCAGGTCATTGCACAGTATTATTTTTGGGACACTTTACATCATATCTTTTTAATTTTTGTTTTATAGTTATTGTATCTATTTTAAATTACACTAATTTGTAAAACTAAATTGGATCTGTCTATGAGCTTTCTGCCTGTTGAATTTTGTGTCTTTCATCTATTTAGTAGTTTTTCTAAACATCCCTATGTCTTTGAAGGGTTTTAGTTTTTCGACAGTCTTCAGGAAATTATTAGATTTTTACCGTTGGGTGCTTTATTTTACTTAGTTATCTTTTAGGAAAGACGTAACAAGTTATAAGCTATAAGTAGATGGCACAGATAGTCCTCCTACAACACAGCATCCTATTATAGTATTTTTTTATTGAATGATCTATACATATAGGTTATAAATCGAAATTTACTATGATGGACTGTTTTGTTGGAAAAATAACGAAGAGTGTTTGTCAGCACATTTCGAGTGAAACGGTCGTATTATTTTTCAATAAAGATTCTATTTGTTAAAATACATCGGTTTACAATTTATTTAGAATTATCCTGGCAATGCAAGTATTGAAGTGTGTGACACTATAACACGGTTTCGTTCTAACACGATAGGATAAATTCCGGGAACCCTCGTATAGCACTGCAGTAGTAATATATCCGTTATGGCGAAACTTGGCCGTGGCCTAAGTAGAAGTGGGGGTGAGTCCCAAAAGTTTTGCGGCTAAAGTTTTTTCATTTCAAAAATCGAGTTGAAAATTTTTCCGTACGAAAACAAACGGAAGCGTTCGAAAACTGAGCGGAAGCGATAAAACTAGCAACGGAAGCGATAAGTCCTGCATGAGACATTTTTTTGTTCGATGGTGGTCTAATGTCTTCAAGATAAATTTTACTTAGTGATACGATATCTGCAGTTTGCACACGGTAAGCTTATCCCCACATGGTGTAAAAATACAATAATAGTCATTATAATTGATTTTGTTTAAAGATTTCGTGAGAGTTTAAAAATATTCAGAGCTCGTCACAATCTATTAAAATAAATACTGCAAAAGATAGTGTTGAAACGAAAAAGGGTGAGACAAAGAAAGAGATTGTGTATTTCTTTCCAGCGGTGAATATGAAAGTATTAAGTGTATAACGGATCTGTTTGATGGGCTTTTTGGAGAATACAACATTGGAGTATTCAAGAATGAACAGTGTGTGTTTATACATAGAGTCTGCAAAAATTGTCCACTGACACACATTCTAGAGTTTCCAGAAGACCTCAGCAAAATATTAGGATTTTCAACTTCAATGTTTTTCTTAACTTCTACAGGCATCAACTTTGTGAAAGCAGAAAACCCTAGCTGTATCACTCGAGGTTTACCGGATCAGCTCTTTATATATTTAGACATCATTCTCCCCCATGTAGTTAGCGATATTCATACTCCGCTCTTACGCATTGTCGAATGTGACGCTCAAACACATCCCTTTGGGATTACCCAGTCTAAGACTTTCTCCATGCCTCATTACTAACCCATAGTTGGTGGTCCAATTCAATCAATCGAAACTATTATAAGCGATCACGCTGGTAGACCAGTGCCATTTGAATACGGTACGCATTACATTTTCGACGTCTTCACAATAATTGAATTGAACATCAACGATGTTGACATGCAACTACAGATTTTTAGATCTAAAGATAATTTTTGCTTAATGCAATTTGGAACAGGGGATTATAAGGTCCATATCACAGAAGCCACAATATTCCTGCGAAAAGTAAAGATTAGTCCAATAATTATTTTAGTTCGTGCTAAATCTCGAGTTCAGGGACCAGTGAAGTACCCCATAACAAGAGTCGAAGTAAAATCTCTTTCTATACCTGCTGGTATACAACGAGAGACTCTCGACAATGTTTTTATGGGTTAATTACCGAAGAGAATCATCGTAGCCTTTGTCACGAATAAGAGTTTCAACGGAGCACCTGTCAAGAACCCGTTCAATTTTCAACATTTCAACATGAATAATTTATCGCTCTATATCGATGGTGTTCAAATCCCCAGCAAACCTCTTCAGCCTGCATATGATAGAGAGTTATCAGTCCGAAATTACTATACCCTCTTTATGGGAACATGTATTCACTATGGAAATACAGGAAATGGCATCGGTCGTACGGAATATGCGAATGGGAATTGTTTCACAGCGTTTGATCTAACACCTGATCTGAGCGCATCTTGTGCTATGCATTGGAATCTCATAAAACATGGAACCGTTCAAATAGACGCAAGATTTGCTCATGCTCTGGAAGTTACTATAAACTGCGTTGTGTACGCTGAATTTTACAATATTATTACAATATTATAGAAATAGACTTCTCGCGACAAGTATAATCAGCCATGACTCGTTTGGTGTAAACAAAAGACTGTTCATTGCTTTCAAAAGTGCCATATAGATCGCTCTCGTCATTTGTTTAAAGAAATTCAGAACACAGCACCGTATATTTCAAGTAGCATTCTACATACTTTTTTACTTTCTCATCACATACAAAGTATGTAAGAAAGTATCGCAATCCAAAAAAAAAATCGACTCCCAGATTTTGATGGAAATACATGTTTTGAGAGTCCTAGATTCTAAAAAAAGCATTCACTTATTTCTGTCTGTCTGGTAAATTCTGTCTGAAAGCACATTAACTTTCTAAAGAGGCTACGGATCACAATGAAATTTGTTGTGTCTTCTGTGTATAAAATGTAGTTTTGGTATTATATTTGACACCAAAAACCCAATCCGTTCTGGCACTTTACCTGAAATGTGAAAAATAAAAAAAATTGTCTATCGATAGTCTGATTAAAAAATTACTATGCTCTAGTCTGCAGTGTACAGACTTTTTTTTTACCACTTTTATGAGAGCCAATATAAAATTCTCCTCAGTATATGTCAATACACAATAATAAATAGAAAACAAATATAATATGTATGCTCTTATCTTCTGGAATAAAGCTACATCTTTTAGTATAATAAATAACAGCAATGTCATTGAATTAAAATTTGAAAATAATGATGCCAAAATAAAATGGAGGAATTCAAGTTTATTCCGGTCGAGTTATTGTTCGAAACCGTAAGTCAGATTTATGAAATAGCTTTGCTAAGTTCATTCTAGATTGGCTTATTCCATTGGCCATTCCATTAACTGAGCTTTCGCTTAAACTTAAATGATAAAACTGCATGTTGAACTATTAGAAGCAAGGGTTCACATTTAAAAAAATAGAAAACAAGACGTGGTTAGAGTAACTCCACGTAAATAAGTACGGTATGATCATCGGCCAGTCAGCGATAGACAGATTAGCACATACAGAGACAGAAGTTGAACCAAGTCCATTTTCTTCACGGGATAGACCTCTTCCAGTTCGAGTGGACGATGACGATAATAACGATGACGTCGACGAAGACGGCGATGGTGACAATACGAACAACGACAGCACGGCACCCAATAATAATGGCCGCAATAACGATGACAATCAACATAATGACGACGACAATGAGACCGAGGATAATTTTAATACTAATGACCACAAAAGAGGTTGAGCTCATAGGTGGAAGTGGAGTTCTAATCTCTGAGCTAGACTTGGTAGAAATAAAACGACGTTGGACTGAAAAACTGAAAGAAATGACGAGACGAATTTTATTGGGTTGGCATGAAAGTAATGAGACGCTCTAGAAAACTCTACACATGTCCCTTTTTAAATTAATTGTTTTTGACCATATTCTTAGCATTTTAGGGAGATCGAACTTAGCACTAATGTCTCGAACTGGGAGAGGTAATAGAAGATGCATTCCCGAAGCGATACTTCGTGCTACACAAAGTATAAGTTGTACCTTACTATTTAATTTTGATTGACAAATCCGAAATTACAGTAAATACATGTTTCTCTAAAATGATTTATAGCTTTTATATTTAATACTACCGAACGAGGATTTCATCTCACACATCAGGAATTCAATACCTGCGTTATAAAATTGTGTAATACCCTCCGGAATCCGAAGTGAAAAAGTAAACATATCATGTGGTAAAACTGGACTGTAGTAGTAAATATGAATCTAACTTGAACTGTTTATATTTTTTTTTTAATTTTTTAGGTCTACTACAATGTGGTGAAATTTAGGTGAACTATGAAAACCGCAATAAGAAATTTTTAGTACACCCATATCGCACGAAGAACGTGTCTTCTATCTGTTTAAATGACACAATTATACATATGTACATATGCATTCGATGTTTCAGTTTATAATAATAGACAACAATGAATTACAAAATGATTTTTATTTCATTCGACACCATTGGCACCGTTATGAAGAAATCACTATTACGAAATATCGTATGAGAGGTACAATGTTGTGTAGGGCTAGGAATTTCGCTATGGTAAAAGGTAGTGGCGGAAAGTGGCGGTGATTTAATTCTAGAAATATGTATATCCACTCAAGCAGAAACTAATATTATCATCAGACTATAGTCTCTCAAATGTGTGATAAGCGTACGTAGTCTTCGAGGCTCGAAACAAGTTAATTCGGTACGAAATAAATTTGCGAATGGGCATATTATTATTGTTCGTTTAACTACCGTTCGGAAATTAAAACAATTATATTTATTATTTCAAATGATATCGGAAAAAGTTAATTTCAAAAGTTGAAGAGCAAGAGAAAAATGGAGATGAAAAAAAGATTCGTTAGGGTAGCATACATAATAAGGGAGATATTACGTTTGAAATTAAGAGGGAAACAGTACAGGAAAGTATACGAGAGAATATGTATACAGGAAAAAGTATAGGATAATGTACGGGGAAAAGTACAGGATAATGTACGGGAAAATGTACAGGAAGATGCAGAGAAGATCAAAGAGTGTACATACATACATTAATAAATACCATTCTGAACATTAAATTTCTTTATCCCACTTTAAAAAGTGTGTCATTGAATGTCTCATGTTTGACAAGTCTAATGATAATATTACAGTTTCTACTTGAGTGAATGTGTTCACAGAATCAAACTCCCGCCACTTTGCTTCACTATTTTTCCTATTGCTATTGTTTTCTTTTGGTGATGATTCGAACTTACTTAAAATGATAATATTTCTAAATTTTTAATATTTATTTTCTCGAGAACGCTACAACCGATTTCATAAGGACAAATTGCATATTGTTCTATTTTCAACGGAAAGTATGCCAGTGCCCGTTGGGGAATAAGTCGTGGGACACCCTGTGTACTATGTGACGTATCATCAATTTCATCCTACACTGTATATTGAATTCACCCAATAATTTCTACTTCATGATCTGAACCACTTTGTATAGTTGTGATTATAAATACTACAGTGGATATACATGTAATAGTAATCTCAGCAATACTGGAATCAATGACACTACAAAATTTAACACTTTTATAATAATTATGAAATTACTCATTAATTGAACGACTTATTATAAACATTAATAATAACATACTATCAAATAATGAATGCCAGTAATATTTTACTCAAATAATTATTATCATCATTACTATAATACACGATCTAGAAGTGTTTTTCAAGTTTGTTTTAGCAGTACTAGTAATACAGTTGAATACATTTAGCACGAAAACATGTCTTACTTTAAGTACTTATCTTGTAATATCATATAAAACATCTAGTAAAAATATTATTAAAAATACTTCATTACCTCTTAAATTTTTCAGTAAGGACTTTACGCAATAACATTTGTTCCAAAGTTTTAATCCAATAAAGTCAAGCATGTCGAAGGTAAATTTATCTGTTCTGTTTCCACCGGAGTCAAACGTAAGTTAGTTGAAATACATTAAAAGTATATCTATAAGTTATTAATATATAGATATACGTAATTAATATTTCAACTCGACTTCGATGGAAACATAAACTGTGATAACTGTGCTCACAGTATTCGCAGTAAATTTCCAAACGTACCCTAAGTACACGCATTTGAGTCAAAACACTTTGCAGGTGCGCATGAGCTAATACGTATAGTCGAGCAGTGAGGTTACACTGTGGATTAGACAAACATCATTGAAAAGTTAAAATTGGTTAAATATTTGCGCGAGTTTTTGCAGGGATGATTATTGACTATTGAGAGATTGAAGCTATTCAAGAATGAACGATGGATTGGCTTCATTGTAATCACTGTAATTCATGAAGTGACAGTACTGGTAGTACTTTTCAAAATTCACTGCTAGTCTTGATGGCCCATACTTTTCATTGGAGTAAAAAGAGAGTTAAACGGTATACTATATGCACACTCTATATTCTTAAGATCTTAACCGTCTTTTAATTTCAAGGAAGCTATACTTTGTATCTCTCTTAGATGCAACAGATAACTACAGAAAAAATGATTTCTACAATATTAACAGTGAATTTCGGAAAGTAACCTGAGATTTAATGGTAATTGTGTCTCATTTCTTGAAAAGGCAGTACTGCTGTATTTGCAATACACTTATTAATGTTTTTTACACATAAAAATATAATGTTCAACTAAGAGATATTTCTTAATGTTTAAAATATGCAGATTAACGAAATGTGAGTTAATTTGTTTCTGGATCCCAACTTTGAAGTTGTGCATATATTTGATTTCCTTTCTCTGAATACTGTATCGCCACTTATATTGGCGAAAATGTACTACTTACGTTCTTCAATTTAGTATCTGGCAAGATACAGTCAATGGATTAGAAATAATCCGACATTTTTCGAACAGTATAAGTAATAGTGGTGATTAATTGCTTGACGTTTCTGAAGGATAACGTGGAAAGCTGTACCTTACGGGAAAATGTGTGGCCATGGTCAACCTCGCACACGTTGATCGCTGTTCGATCTGTTTATACAGAATGTGAATATTAAGAAGTGGGAAAATGTTTGTCAGGGATCCCTGTGGAATTGTCTGCATTATTGTGACATACGTCGCGGTATTTTATGCGGACTATGTCGTGATACGATGGATTATCTTGCACACAATGCAAGACAGGTTGGTTACTAAAAATGATTCGATTTATAGTTTATTAATATTTAACAGTTTCTTGAAAGATGATTCTATCCAATACACAATGATTGAAGGATTTCTATATTATGTTCTGATTATTATCTAAAATGTTACCAAGAAATCTATTATTTCATTGAATTTTCTACTTTATAAATTATCATTAAGGTCAAACTACAGAATACAACTCCTTGAAGGGATTTATTTAAATAAACTAAACAATCCGCAACTAACTTCAAGAAGAAATTGTATTTTACAGTTTAGCCTAATCCTGTTCTTGAAACATTACCTGTATCCTAGATGGTATGGTTGAATTGTGTTTTAATCTTTCTATACTTTTGATACAGATAACAAGTACATTTCTAATATAATTTTATGTTATAGTTTATGGGGTCCCTTTCATGTTGTAATATTCAATACAGTAATACTGTTATTGATGATGTCGCACCTAAAGGCAGTATGTAGTGATCCAGGAGTAGTTCCACTTCCCCAGACAAGAATGGATTTCTCAGATATACATACAGGCAGTTCTAGTGTAGGCGACGATTGTGATGAAACAGATGATTGGACTGTTTGTACCAGATGCGAAACTTACAGACCTCCTAGAGCGCATCATTGCAGAATTTGTAAGCGATGTATTCGAAGAATGGACCATCATTGCCCATGGTAACTTGATGTTTTTTAGTTACAACTCATGTGCATAATGCATATGATCATTATCAAAACTTTTAAAAATTTAAGGATAAATAATTGTGTCGGTGAACGGAATCAAAAATATTTTATACAATTTCTTGTATATGTTGGTTTGTTGGCTTTATATGCTATAATATTGGTGACCATATCATGGATTTTAGACTGCCCAGAGTGCAGTAATGATGTTACTGTAAAACAGAGTCGGATGTAAGTAAATGTATCATTGCATATTACCAAAATATTTGTATTACATAGAACTAATATGCAATAACAGAACGTTATCTTTTATACTTATAGATTGCATTGCGTCATACTGGTGTTGGAATCTACCTTATTTGGAATGTTTGTTATAGCAATCTTAGTCGATCAATTTCAAGCAATTCTTTGTGATGAAACTGCTGTGGAACGAGTACAAGGCAATCATCATTTTAACCACAATAAGACTACTCCACATACTCTTACGCTTCTCTCCCAAGTTTGTGGGAAGAGCCATCCAGGATTATGGTTATTTCCATGTCACAATCCACCACGATATTCATATAGAAGGGATGCACATTTAATTGATCATCAAGTTTGAATAGGCTAAATTTAAGTAAACTGTGGTACACAAGTATATATTGAGGCCGAAGAATAGTGTTAAAATAAATCAGTTTTCAGTTCGACTATCTATAAAGGCCATCAGAAATGAATATGTGTCGGTACGCTTTCCCATTATAATAGTATTACCACTCACAGTTAACACTAGACAACCAAATCCATAAGAATGACGGATTTCAGATTTGTTTTAAATTACAGAAATTATTAAAGTGCTTTTCGAATTAATGTTGATTTTTGTCGAGATAAAAGAATTAATGTATATGCCAATATAATTTCGAAGTTCAGTATATGTGGTACCTCGTAGTTTCGAAGTTCAGTATACAGGGTGCGGCGTTTATCCTGGCCACCTGGAATATCTCAAAAATTAAAGTCCGTTGTTGGATCAGCCCCTCCTTACCTTAAACTTTTTATTTGAAACATTTTTTTCTCCGGACTTTAGTTTCTGCGATATTCCAGGTAGCCAGGATAACCGCCGCACGCTGTATATGGTACCTCAATATAGCAATAACCTAATGTTAATAAAAGGCAACCTATAAGTCTGCAGATATAAAATGCTAATTGAGTTGAACAAAAAACTATAAAGTTACTTATACTTTTTGCGATAATGCTACTAGCAAATCTTTAAACTCCAGATTATGAGGCTTAAGTAGGACACTTCCTGGTAATTATTTATATTACAATAATTATTCATTTTAGAAAACACATATTCTGTAGGGCTTTTTAGAATTAATTGTAATAATACTGCATTCCATTGATATTTCCATATTTTATGTAATGACAAATGAGTCAAACATTGTAAAAGCTAAATAATCCATTAAAACGTACAGACTGAAATTATATTTGGATAAAAAAGGCATTTATCTTTTTTGAGTCATATGTAATAATTACAGAATGTCTTATCTAAGCAATCTGCAAGATCTTGCTATTGGACTATGTCGCTTGCATAAAATCTGCAATTTGCAGTATAATTATAAGATTAAAACAAAATTGGCAAAAGTAAATATTTAATTGAGAGGTATCAAGGTGAATTACATAACAAATATTATTTATTCGCACAGTTTTCAAATCTTTTAATGAAATGATACTAAACTTATGATCACAATAATTAATTTAGTATTTGTAATGACTATTTTCCTGGGCCGAAATACGAAAAATCTTATACTTATTTGTTTATTTATGTAAATATATGATTCCCAATCTTATTTATTCATACTGATCGATTAAGCAATTTTCATAACATTTATAAATTATATATTTTAATAGCTCAGTATTATTTTGTATATTATGATTGGAGTTTTATCAAGCATTGACAATGCTATGTATATTTGTATTTTCATACACAAAGCTTTAACAAAATTTAAAAAGGAAAACGTGTTTTTCAGCTCATGGATTTATAATGCATCTAACCGTTTTGTGTTTTGTGTTATATAGATGAATTCAGTATTATGCATTTAATTTTTTTATAATATAATAGTAGCAAAACTGTTAAGCTAGAGTAACTCCGTTCTCAGTAATATTTATATGTATAAATCTTTGAAATCTAGAAAAAAAAATTCGCTGTGTTCAACAGAAATACCGCTGAGTGAGCAAATACGCTTGGTTGGTCAAATATCACACTATTGCAAGATTAACGATTGAATGACCAATCAAACGTATTTTCTAAGTTTCTAGAACTAAAAACGAACTCATATGATGAACATATTTAAGGTGGTTGGATGACTAGGATTCCGAGTGATTCCAAGATAGAATTACAAATTTTATAAATGTTTTACACAATAGTATCAATTTGAGCTTTGCAGTTTTTGAGATATACAAAGTAAAAACGGTCTTATCTTACTATATGAATACAATACTGTATCCTTAAATACAAACAATTTTTTGATTTGACATTTTTATTTACATACGGTAAGTTTTCATGATTTTCAGCTCATATATAAACACGAGTACCTCTTACTATTATGATTATGATTATCGATACACCATAAATGCAAATATCATAATACGAGTGTCATAATTTTGTAATCATACAACTTTGACATTGTGGAAATTTGTATTGTATTACTATATAATAGTTCCCACTATTTATAAATTGAAAACAAATAGTCCACATTTAATTAATTCTTCATATAAACTTTTGAATTAAATGCTAAACTATTATTTTATAGTATAATGAATCAGGAGCTACAAAAGTATTTGTATAAACCTTTAATTTTCATTCATATATATATATATGTTTCAATTATATACAGGAATTTAATAAAAAATATATTAGTTTGCTGTTATACTGTTTTATGGTGCCTGATCCGGTTTGTACATCTTCACAACATTATTTGTAACATTTTCTATTATTAAAAGTTGTACTTTCTTTATACGTATGCAGTAACATTTAAAAGTTCTGTTAAAAGAAATTGCAAAATATTTGAATTTGATAAAACAACATATTTGATGATGAATATTCATTGCTGAATTTATGATACGCGAATAAATACAATATACATATACAGGGTGTTCGTTATGAAACGCACTGTAGTAACACTGTTACATTCCTTTTCAAATTCTAATGAATACTTGTATTTTCATTTTTTATTTCATATATCAAAATTTCGAGATAATCAAGGTTGAAGTTGCAGTAATGCGACCAATCAGAACGCGTTTAAACAGAGCTTAGAGAACGTCGCGAGCCAACCCGCAAGGCCTGCTTACACTAGGCCAATAACACTAAGAGTATCGTCTCTTGTATCTTACTCAATTACATGCAGATAAACAGGGACACAACGACGATACTCTTAGTGTTATTGGCCTAGTGTAAGCAGGCCTTGCGGGTTGGCTCGCGACGTTCTCTAAGCTCTGTTTAAACGCGTTCTGATTGGTCGCATTACTGCAACTTCAACCTTGATTATCTCGAAATTTTGATATATGAAATAAAAAATGAAAATACAAGTATTCATTAGAATTTGAAAAGGAATGTAACAGTGTTACTACAGTGCGTTTCATAACGAACACCCTGTATATGTATATTGTATTTATTCGCGTATCATAAATTCAGCAATGAATATTCATCATCAAATATGTTGTTTTATCAAATTCAAATATTTTGCAATTTCTTTTAACAGAACTTTTAAATGTTACTGCATACGTATAAAGAAAGTACAACTTTTAATAATAGAAAATGTTACAAATAATGTTGTGAAGATGTACAAACCGGATCAGGCACCATAAAACAGTATAACAGCAAACTAATATATTTTTTATTAAATCGAATCTTTAGGATGTTCAGTGTTGCAGTTCTAGTCTAGGTTAATCAAACGAAAGGCTTAGATCGGGCCGGTTTCACCAAAGTTAATCGAGGTTTAATTGTCGAGAGTAGCTAATCAACTCCAGGTACATACCATTAGAAAAACTGAGAAATTCTGGGTGAACATTGATATGATTAGTAATATACATTATTAAATTATATATTTTCTCAGATGACTTTTGCATTCTCATTGTGCTTGTTTTTAAACAGTGAATCATAAGCTATGTTATGCACATAATTTGGAAGTCTGCTCTAGCAGTGATTTTATTTCTTGTATAATAAAAAAATAGAAAAAAGAACTTAGTTTGCTTCATAGCAAAGTACTTTATTTTTCATCTTAAAGACAAGCGGCCATAAGACCAGCAACATTTTCAAAGTCGATTTTTTCTGTGATATTTTTTGTCTTAATATTCTCATCTTGATTGGCAATGAAAATCACAGAATCACTTTCTTCTTTCCAACCATATTTCTTGATCCAGTGCTTCGCAGTATTATCTGAAATATGAATTAATGCACATGTACAAGTTTGTATATGTATATATATATATTTATATTGGCTTGATTACAAAATATTACGCTACATGAAAAATGAGACCTATCAATGAACTAGACCATTTGTGGGCAGCCCACAGGCCAGATCCAGGCCTCTACTTCTTTTGATCTGGCCCTAATCTATTTCAGTGGTGTGTCTATAACTATAAATAAATGAAATATGAAGTAAAAACTTCTTTTAATTATTTTAATATCAATTTGTTTTATTTAATAATTTGATCCAGCCCTTGACTCGGAGACAGAATGATAAAATGGCCTCTGAACTAGGAGAGGTTGCCTATACCTGAACTACACTGTAACCAAAAACCTATCCTATCATTTTTCTTAAGTCGCATGAAGTAAGAATCTTTTCAATTTCAATACTTTGTTCCATATCTATAGTTGGACATTTCCATATTTCTTTTATTGACAAATCAAAAATATCAGAATCCATGACAGGAGCTGTATACTTTGACACATTAGATTATAAAATAAATTAGAAATATATTTTGGAACAATTAAATAAACTATTATTGCTATGTTGCCAAACTATTCAACTTACTTTGCCAAGAACCATTATATTATTAGACTGCTAAATCAAATTTACGTTCAAGGGACTTTTACGCTATAGTCTGAACGTTGTTGAACAAAATATAGACTAAACAGATTTCAAAAATGAAAGCTCATATAACAATTAATAGATTTCATGGAATCAGATATTATGACTATAATCTAGCATCTATTGTGTGAAAGTGATGTATGCTCTCTTTATTCAACCTGTAACTTATACATACCATCAACTTCACCGAGTAATTGCATCAACAAGCCTTTGTCTATTGTTTGAAAAGTAATTCCCACAACATGACATACAAATTTTCTTATTGAATCCTGAAATCCAACAATTTTGTCACAAAGATCAGACATATTAGCAACACGTTCCCAAAAATGTTGGAAGTTGCACTTTTCCAAAACATCTCCAAGATACATAATTTGACTAATTGGTTCTTCTTGCATCTTAAAAGAAAACAGTCGTTAGTACACATTTCACTATTACTATTTTTTAAGTATCAATTGAGTAAAGTACAGCATGAAAAAAAAATTAAAATATTTGGACAAAACTTACAATTTTCTCACTTAGGAGACATTTACACAATACAAAATCAGTATGAGGGAAATTCGTTAGAGCCTTCAGTAATATTTGACACGTTATATCAATATTAAACCGCTGAGGATTCAACTGATATAATTTTAAAACGGCAAGATTTGCTTCTAAATCGTAAGCATTTTCCCGCGACTGAATTTCCACATATTTCTCTAACGTTGTCAAATTATCTGGATTGTACCTGAAAGTTGTAAAAATACAAAAATCTTTCAGATCTCAATTTGGCGAATTGAAACTGAGTCAGTACAGGGCAATATTTTCTAATTTCACCGAGACAAAAAGAGCAAAATTTTTCGTGATAATAAAGTAAAGAATTACCTCTCAATGCCTTTTAGCATACCAGCTACAGTTTGTTTCATTGCCTCAGCCATTTTAAACTTATTTTATAATATTCTAGTAGTAAGCATGTACACACTAAAGGAATGATCCCAAAAGAATCAGGTTATATGTCACAGATTCTATAGAAAAAAGACACGAGAGACCCTTCTTCCTTCCTTTCCTTATGGCTGCCTCCTCAACGAGAGACCTTTGTTTCTCCTATTGGTGTTAAATATATTTCCTTCAGGAAATAATATCCTTCCTTCCTTTACTTATGGCTGACTCCTCCAATGAGGAGATGTGCCAGGAGGAAATAATATAGATTTTATTAAGCCTGTTCTACCAGAGATGAGTAGGGAGATTACCAATGAGCCTGTTTTTGGTGGTCTCAATTTTTCTCTGGTTTCGGCGCGCCACCTCAGCGGAGGGCCCTCGAAGCAGTTCCACGTTTTTGATTGGTCGTGTATATATAGTAATACTACGCGTGATAATCTGGAGCTGTGTTTCGGCGCGTCGACGCGCCACCTGAACGAGACTCTCGAACTAGTTCCACGTTTTTGATTGGTCGAATGAATTCGTGTGTTCCTCGAGATCCACGATTTTAAACCGGGTGAACACTCAAATAGGGAGACTTGTATCCACCTTTTTTTTTACAGGATATTACATAAACCGTAGTAATAAGGTAGTCAATACTCTTAATAATCATATGAAGCTCTGGAAATAACAGAGTAAGCAAATAAAACTTAAACAAAAACTCTCGAACGTGGGTAACTACACAAATATAAGTTTGCTAAATAATATACCACAGTGACTCGATAGCACACGTGCTTGGTGCTGGATTAACGTCCGAGAGTATCGAGTTCGAAACTCACGTCTCTGCCCTTTTATTTTTTTTCTTAATTATCAACTATGCTTATTAGTTCACCTAGTTAACTTAAGATTCATTAAATATATGATTATATTAATCTACAAATATTGTATTATATTACATCGTATACATACAATAAATTGATTCATGAATCAGCGAACGTTTCTTCTTCCCGAGAGCCTACCTGTGACAAACACCTATGTTACGCTGTTTCATGTTTTAATAGCATAAATAAGATTTAGACGGATAAAGAAGACATTACGGAAAATTACCAAAAACAAAAATGCACTTACAAATCTCGGGCATAAAAATAATAATGAGCATACAAAAATGAAGCAATTATTTTCTATAGTGAGATGAAACGAATAATGTATCTGGTTAGGAATTTTTTGTCATTTACTTTTTATCATTCATGGCTACGGAAAGACAACATTTTCAATACATCGAATTATCAGACAATTATGTCGAGGTAGAACATACTCATAGTGCGAAATATTAAAAATAAAATTATCTTTCCGTAAGCATGAATTAAAAAATTGACTAAATTGAATCAGGCTATTCAAAAATGTATAAAACTAAAAATTTCAAAGCAGATATACTATTTTCATTTTTTTTACCCGATATTAAAAAGTGCCATTTTTTGGGACATTTTTTACTACTTTTCTATTCGGCTGAATAATATTTAAACTATCAAAAAGTGAAACAGCCTACCATACGTGCAAGCGTTATCAAATTTTTTTTTAATCAGACCACGGCACGGTCAAACAAAAAATGAAATGGAGAAATGTATCTATGTTAGAAATGCAAGAGCATTAAGCGGAAACGAGATTT